GGCACTCCCCGTTCCTAGGCAGACGAATGGATCCAACGGCAGCAAGATATGCAGTCAACGATTTCATATGCTGTCGCCAGGTGAACGGGCGACCACCGCGTGGTCTCTTCCAGCCACGTCCTGCACGAGTGAAAAGGGCGCAACAGGGAAAACGCTCAGCTGACATACACAGGTGACCGAGCCACCTCAACTACTGCATTTACTGCAGGGAAAGGGAAAAATCGCATTCCCTAAGACATGACGTCTGATTTCACCGCTGCAGATAAGTTGCTGCGAGCACACAAGAACAATCCTTCTTTCGGAGGGCGAAAGTCAGTGCATGTTACCTACGCGAATAGGCCTTGACTCACTGCCCTATAGAAACAGCACTCGAACGATGCCATTGTAAACCCGACCTTTTACGAAGTGGCAGACATCCCGACGACGCCGTAAGTGTTTCGAGTTGACAAACCCCAACCGAGGTTTGGCGATGCGGAAGGAAACTTCCTTCTCAATAGTACTACCAGCAGACGCGTACCTGCACGGGGATGGTACAGTGCCAATCTTGGAGCAGCACTTTACATATTGACGGGCGAAGCACATTCCCTACTCATATACCCCAATCGCCAAACGGTTTAGAGTGGTTCGCATGCTCTGTGAGTCAGAAAGAAGGCGATGTCATCAGCATAATCTAAGTCGGTCGCTCGATTGCCCGGTACTAGCTGCAGACCAAACTGTTGGTAACCTTCCACAGCTCTCAAAAGAACGTCTATAATCGCAAAATTGAAAAGGAAAGGGGACTTAGGACAGCCCAGTCGCAAACCGCTATTGACAGCGAAGGAGGACGAAAGCTTGCCATAAATTTTCACACTGCCGGAGTTGTGGAGGTAGAGTGCGCGTAGGACGGTAGTGTACTTTTCTGGGACTCCGTTCTTTGACAAACAGTGCCACAACGCAGGAAGATCAACCGAGTCGAATGCAGCACGGATGTCTAAGAATGCAACGATGGTAGTACTCTGATAGAGGTGGCGGTGTTCGAGAATTTAGCAGAGCGTGAATATTTGATTCACAGACCTATGGACAGGACGGAAGTCAGCTTGTTCATCCCAATACTGAGATTCACGAATCGAAGATGGTCTACGGAGTAGAGTGGATGCTGATAGCTTGGGGGCAACCGAAATGACACTGATCCCTCGGTGACTGGGGCATTAAGTGCGAACATCTTTAGTACAAGAGGGACAAAAACTGACTCGCCTCAGGAAGAAGGCACCTATTCCTCATGCCAGATAATGAGGAAAAATGAAGTAAGCTGGTTGACGATAAGTGCGCCTCCATATTGAACATCTCCGGAGGAAGTCAGTCTGAGGCAGCAACTTTGAATCGTTTTAAGTGTCGAATCGAAAGACAAACTTCCGCTTCGCTGGGTGGATCAAGTGTGATGATTCAGGACGGGTATGTGGGTTCGTAGGGAATACAAGTGGACGATGACGGCTGCGAGTCAAAATGTTTGGCCCATCGAACAAAGCGTCTCTGTAGGTTGGCAATCGGAGGACGATCCGCTTCGCAAATAACCTCACAGACACCAGTGGATCGAATGAGCCGAAAGAGCTTGCGAGTATTGCCAGAGGGCAGTGGCCTGCATTACCGAAGCACGCTGAGAGCACCAGACTTCACGACCACTACAACGACTTCGTTGAAGCTACTGACTGACAGAAAAGTGCATTCCATTATTATTAGACTTCGCTGGAGCGGTCAAATAGATCCAGAAAGTGCGTGGAGATCCAGGTCTGCATAGGGCGCTGAGTAAGACAATGGACTAATTGCCCGGAAGAGATCATGGTCCTCTGCATGAACGTCCAGTATCCATCAATGTCTTAAGGTGGGTCGCAGCTGAGTGTATCGACCAGGGAAGATTGATAGTTCTGTTGAACTGAGGAGGTAGATAGCTCATTCGTATCTAACAGTGCTTCGTATTCGGGGACCCTCCGAAACTCATGCAGATGTTCGCACAGACAAGAGCGTGGTCTAAGTCAACAAATGTGGGCCAGATAGATTCGCAACGATCTACACTACCCCTTCTTCTGAAACTGATTGTGACCTGATCAATCCGAGACCATGATTGAGACGAAGAAGGGAGCCGCCAAATAGCGGAATCTCTTCGAGTGTCTAAAGCAGGTGCTCGAGAGAAACAAATAAGTGTCTTTGCACAGTGTGAGCAGTCTCACTTTATTATCTGAGCGGCTTTCAGTAAGGGCACGGTGACCATCGAGGTGACTTGCGCATAAAAATAGCCGAGTGAAACGTGTGTTGAGATCTCCAGCAAGCACAATACAATGGGATTTGCAAACTATGCACAAGCGCTGATGAGGTTCACGATGGAAATGGTCCTTGACTGAGCCAAAACTGAAGTCAGGTGGAGCATAAGCTGAGATCACAAACAAGTTGCGTTTCTCCTCACAACATATATTGATGCTGCATGACCCCCGAAGCCGAACTTCAGATAGTCGGCTATTAATAGGAAACCAGAACAGCAGTAAGCCTCAGGTTTGCTGCTTAGCGCTACACCGACGCCAATCAAGTCTTCCACAGCTGTTTCTTTGTCACCAGATGGACGTAGGTGAAATATGTCTCCGTGGTTAGTGGGAGATCTCAACATAATCACAGTTCTGGGATCTTGCAAGCATGTTTCGGAAAGACAGCAGACATCGATGGCGAGGAATTCCAAGGTGCACACAAGACCAGCCCGCTTCCCGATCTGCATAAGTGTACGTACATTGAGGGATGTCAGACGGAATGAGGACCGAGGTGAAAAGAGTGCTACTGGGCGAGCTCTCTGGGTGTCGAGGAAACCATCGGGAGTTGAATCATGAAAAGGGGAATCAGCTGGTACCGGATAACGGCGATTGGCAACAAATGAACAAGTGGCGTGTGAAGATGGTGTGTGAGTAGCGGAAGCAGTTGAGCGCGATATAACATATAAACGATCCATGGATTTGTCAGTGGGCGATACTACCCGGTAGCCCAACCCGAAGTAGGGAGTTGTTTCAGCGGACAACACCCCGAGCCTTTGGCTATATAGGCTGCTCGCAAGGCAGCGACGCGAATTCGAGGAGTCACACCCACTGGGGGTCGGTGATTGAATATTCAGTTCATCGGTTGGCATCTGTCTCTAGCGGTAATGTGTTCGATCCCTAGTAGGGGGACCGAGGGAATGCGCACCAATGACGAGCCCAAATAGTGTGAAACGCGTCTGGTGCTTTTCCGGACTTGGCTGTGCTATGTAGCTTGTGAGCAGCTGAGACGAAAACATTACAATTAAAAAAATCCACCTACTCATTAGCAACAGGTCTTTTGTTTGGTCGGTTGCCAAACATGAGTCCAACCATCCCCGTGATAACAGCACACTTGATAGGGTATAATGCTTCACCGGAGTGAAGCAAGGGGTAGTGACTTTATTTAATGGCGAGTCACATCCGTCATGCCGCAGTGTTGTAGACAGACATTTGTGCCATTTTGTAGGGGGAACACTTGCCAAGCGAAAATCCACCGTGTTCTGGAACACTGGCGCTGAACACTTTGCTGAAACGGGGTAAAAGCGAACCACCCAGTTGGCATCACGAGGAGATCGTTCGGCAAGCCTGAGCTCGCCTCAGCAACATTTAAACTGCGCAGATAACAGCCAAGCTCTCCTCAGTGAAACCACTGTTACGTGTCAATGCAGACTGCGCAGACTCCACTTAAGCTCATCCAAGTGACGCTGCTGCATCCACCGTTCCAAGCCGCATTGAGCTCAAATGAGTTTTCCTCAGGACAGCGCTATCATACGGCTACTCGTATAGCATGCCGGCATTTCCCTATAACTTATGTCTAACCCACTATGCTATTGAATTGCACATACGAAAGTGCAGAAGACTAGCTCGTCTCTGGCTGAGTCAGTGACGAACTTTTGCTATTGGTCAATGTTTCCGGGTCCCTCTTGTAGTATTTCGTCACTAGTCTTAGGTCGTGTGCACACACACACACACACCCCATGGTTAGGTCTCCTAGGTCGTGCCGACGCGATTTCAATTGGCTACTCTGAGCATGGGCTAATAGCAGTGAAAAGTGTTCCATCAGTCTCCGCTAGGAAAATTGATACAACTACGTGTGTAACAACTACATAAGCGATTAGTTTCAGACAAAGGTTGCAAATGGCCAAGTGGAACAATCATATCGCTGTTGAGCTTGAGCAAAGTTCATTTAATGTCTGACCAGGTACTACAGAGGCAAGAGATGACCACTGATCACAGATGGGACCGCTAAAGGTAGACGCATACAAGCAACTAGTTGAAGGACAAATTCACTAGTATAGCTGTTGACAGCTTCGTGAATCACAGGGAAGTTAAGTGGACAAATCACTTCGCGCCGCAAACAGTCGTTGTTGAACGGAAAACAGTGGCTTATCTTCACAAGGTAGACAGAAGAGAAAAATTACCCCAGAAGCTCAGTGCAACGACTTCCACTAACACTGAGGCATCCAGATTACCAGATTGGATTAATCGGTACCGAGAATGACAACATGGAAAAGGCAATATACCTACTATGCTACCTTTGACTCACTGAGTTCAAAACAAGGGTCTATTTGCTGTCAAAATGAAAAAGCAAGGTTGGGTACTAGAGGTAAAATCTCGAAAGAGTTAGACATAACATGAGGCCTACCCAAAGGCAATGTTCTCTCAGGATAGTTCGTTCTGAGAAAAATAAAAGTTCGAAAAAATCGTCGATAAATTAACTTAAGGAAATAGGTCTACTCGTTGTTGCCGTTCAAAGTAGAAAAGGAGGTGAAAATAACACCTAGATCGCGAACCGACAGCTGCAAAATGAGATTCCTCAGTTGATAAATAAGTCAGGTCGCGAACTTGCAATGAACTATTTTTAGAGGCAATTAGTAATCACAAAATAGCTGGATAGTAGCGTCGGGCGAAAAATGATCCTACAGAAGACAATTCTGAAAAAAACAAACCGAAAATGCAAGAACTTACTTGAGAAAGACTGAGGATCTATGATACCAGCCGCCGCAAAAGTGCGCGGCTTATCGTGTTCGAAGTAGAACTCAATCAGAGCATGCTTGTCCCATTTGAAATGAGCGAGTAGTAATCGAAGATAGGTGGGAGAGACTTGGATAATTTGTGACACGTCCTGGGTGATATCGGCCATATGCTTTGTGAGCTGATCGGGATTAAGCATCTGCATAGAAGAAGGACCCAGATGCAATGACAGTGAGCATTTGATCAGTTCCCGTAACCTTACTACATGAAAATGGATGACAACTGAGAGGTCCCGTGGAGAATCAGGGGGCATGAGGAGCCGACTGGGACTCGGTTGAAAGAACGGAAAACGGCGAAATGCGTGTTACGATCATTATCGCAATTCCGAATCAGCGCACACAGGAACCAAAAGCTAACAAAGTAATCACAACTCGGATCACGGATGAAACACTAATTCGGCTCCCAGTCAATATTCACAACATCAACAAGGAAGAACACAAGACATCTGAACGAGATCTAATACGACGCCAAATCGGAAAATCACCAACAAGACATTCGTTGGTATTTATAGGTCTCCTACTGGCTCTATGAGATTGGCCAATGACAGTCCTGTTCGAAATCGAGGATGGATTTGTGCGTATTCTTTAAAAAATCAAGATGGCAACTAATAATAAGTCCATGTTTTCGTTGCCTTCAGTAAATTTTTTGGGAAATATGGTGTTTTCCTAACAGTTAAGCAAAAGACGCCAATCAAAGTTCGCCCATGGGTGCGCCGATTAGGAAAGGCGGCGCAGAGTGAGCAGATAATAAGGGAGCCATCAATTCGATCGTGAAGAAAGGCGGTGAGTTCAGTGACCAACTGTTGCTCCAGTTATTCCGTTGGATCGATTCCTGTGCGCTTCCTCGTCGGCTGAGAACCCGATCAAGCTTTCTAAGACCTGACAGAGTGGGTCGTCAGATTCATGGTATATGCAACCTGGCTATTAAAAACAGTTGGTTCCGGACGACGTGGCATCTGCGCAATGTGTCAGTCCAACGCTAGCCAATCATCGATTAAACTGTTCCTATTGGTTGGATCAAGCAGTCAATGTGTGTCCGTTAACGCCAGCTAATCATTGATTAGACTGTTTGAACTAATGCGAAGCGTTGTCTTTGTGGCGACACAATGCATTCTGTGTATTGCTGAAACTGATGGGTTCAACGGGCCGAACACCGCGCGCTACTAAGTGTCGGGGTTCGCTAAGCGCCGAGTGGTAACAGACTAAGGACCTGATTTCTTCCTTTATTGAGAGCTGAGAACCTTAGTAACTGTCAACACAAATAACGGGTGACAAGACTAACACAAATGGTGTAACGCATGGGCCATTGCACAATTTGGATGTAGGTATGTAGTAGCAACAGTCTAGCAAATAGAAATAGAGACAAACAAAACCATGGAAATCACTGGAAGAAGACAGGTTCAATCGTCCCATCATCAACAAGGCATATCAGCTGAAGATGAGCACCACAACTCAGCTATCGTGCCGTAATAAAAGAAAAAACATCACTTATCATTCATTATACACGTTAGCTAGAGGTGAGAAACACCTCAGCTACTGTGCCTCTAACCATACAAGAAAAAAGGGAAAAAGTGACACAGCTGCAAGCCAGTTGAGCCACCGGTAACCGATGGGCATCGTTCCGGTAAGCTACCAGCCGGTTACTATGCAGAAAAAGTTACTATGCAAAAGTACATCACGCTAAATAGTGATATGGTGAATAGAGTAGGAGGTTAAGAAGGATGGGGTGGGACAAAGAAACTCAGCACGTACGCCACTGAAGTCTGCTCCTAGCCATATCAGCAAGTGTATCCAGCCAAACGTGTTCCTCGTCTTTCGGACCTTAGCCAGGGAGCCGAAACGCTCCAACCGAGGCCAGCTTCGAAATAAGGCCCTTCATTTTTCTCGACCAAGTCATCGCTTGGCCACCCCTCCTCTTCTTCCATCCACACCACCGTCGCGCAAACAACGCACGTCGCGGGAGTCCGTGGACTGGCATGCGTCACACATTGCCGAGCCGTCCGAGGCTAGCGCGTGAAATAACGGTCATGACGTGTTCTTTTCCTGTGCCGTAAACAAGGCGTCGAACATGCTCATTGCTTACTCGGTCTTCCCACCAGATGTGAGCTAAATTGCGAAGGCACCGGTGGTCGAACGTAACTAGCCTCTTTATGTCCGCTGATCTAAGAGCTCAGGTTTCACAACCGTACAGTAGGGTCGAACGTACCGCTGCATTGTACACTCTTCCCTTCAGGGCGAGAGTGATGTTGCGCCGGCTCCATAAGTGGTGAAGGTTAGCAGCAGCGCCTCGGGCATTTGCTATACGGTTCGTGATCGCATTTTCAATCCCACGGAACTGATACAACTTCCCAGATAGTTGAATTTTTGAACGACTTCTAGCTGATCCCCAACAACGGTCAGCGTAGGGAGGCATTCCAGACCAATCTTGGAGGAACGCTTCGCACCTCGAGGGTGCGAAGCAAAGCCGAAGTGACGGACAGCCAGTGCTAATCTGTCCAGTGCCGTTTGGCACTTTGTGAGCTGTCACAAATTAGGGCAACATCCTCAGCATACTCTTAGTCAAGAAGTCGTTCTGCAGGGAGCAGATTTACACCTTCTAAGTCGTGTCCCGTAAACGCGATTTCCATGACTTCATCAATAGCGAATTTGAAGACGAAAGGGGACACGGGTGTCCTTGTTTCACACCGCTGGTAATATTGAGGGGCGACGACAACTGACCGTAAGCCCTCACACTACCTGACCTACGCGCGTATAATGCCCGGGTAATATTTACATATTTCTCAGGTACGCCTTTCATGAGTAGACAGTCCCAAAGTGCACGTCTGTCCACCGAATCGAATGCACCTTTGATATCGAGGAACACGACAACGGTGGACTGCCAATATATGTGACGGTGCTCCAACAACTGACGCAAAGTGAAGATGTGGTCAATGCAGCCACGACTTCGACGAAACCCGGTTTCCTCATCACGAATATGGCTTTCACGAGTGGCAGTCTGTCTGGGAAGGATTATAGAGGCAAGCAACTTGGAGGCGATGAATATCAGACTGATTCCTCTATGGCTGCCGCATTCCGATCGTGAACCTCCGTTGAAAATTAGGACGGTGAAGGAGCGGCTCCAGTCGCTTAGGACAGTTTTCTGCTCCCACAGTTCCACTAGTAACTCGTATCAATCATCCACAAGAGCAGAATCCCCGAATTTGAAGAGTGCTGAGGGAAGATTATCTGGCCGCGCGGCTTTATTTAACTTCAACAGTTCTTTCTCACCTTCGACTTCTGAGCAAGAGGGTGGATCCAAAGGGACAGCCCAGGGAGCGGGGCGATCAGTGACCGGCGAGAAATCTAACAATTCCGACCGATTAAATTGCCTTTCAAAGTGCTCAACCCAACGCTCCAAGCGTTTTGTCAAGTTGTGGATAGTGTGTCCACTCTCGACAAAAATTGCTTCACTAACACCAGGTCTCCTGCTGCCCGTTTCCCGTATCAGCCGGAATAACTTACGATGGCTAGCAAGGGTAGAGGCCATTTCCATTTCTGAAGCACGAGGAGATTACCATGATTCGCGGTCTCTTCAGGCTAGCGCGGAGTTTTGCCCGGAGCTCTGTGCGAGTTTCATTGTGTTCGCTTCCAGCCCAAATATGCCGGCGAGCATCGATAAGCTCCAGAGACTGCGAAGAAACCCAATGTCCATGTTGGCGATTAGACATACCACATGAGGATTTTCCTGCTGCTAATAAGGTCTGGTGAATATGAGACAAGTGAACTTCAATCGCATTCAGTGAGCGCTTACTCAACTCGCATGACAGCGTACTTTGATAGGCATTCAGAACTGCTAACTTTGTCAGTTGGCTGATGTCAATGCGCTCACATCGTCGTCGTGGACGTCCGCCAAAGCGCATCCGCAAGTCAGCACATACAAGTGCATAGTCGATTTCCACACATGTGCTCTAAATCTAGCGACAGTTCTGGACGCAGCCTCTCCATCGGAAACTTATCGCAATGTGCTCGATTTGCGTCCATAGCTGGTTCGAGGCTGGTGGGCGCCAAGTCACCCTCCGGCGCGTGCTGTGTCTGAAATTAGTGCTCACAAGGAATAATCGAGCATCTTCACACAAATGAAGTAACCGCTCACCGTTATCATTACGGGAGCCTACACCATGTTGGTCGCCCAGATGCAGTTCATCAGTGGATAATATTCCAACTTGAACGTTTAGATCCCCGGCCAGCACTACAGTGTCCGAGCTTCTTCTGTGGCGAAGGAGCTCGTTCAATTGGAGATAGAAGACAGCGATAACGAATAGACACCTGTTAGTCCCGCGCGACTTCGAAGCTTTGAACGAGCCAGCCAATCGGACCGTACACAACTGGTTACTGATTGGAATCCAATCAACCAGAGTAGCTCCAACCCGGGGACTCAGGGCAATACTAACACCAGCATGGCCGATACTCGAAGCTGCATCGTCACCGGATAGGAGCAATGAGAAAGTGCTGCTAGTGTCACCTGAAGCGGATCGCAGAGTGAGCACAGAGCTCGAGTCTTGCAGGCGGGTCTCCGATAAGCAGCAGATATCGGTCGAGAGGGTCTCTAATGTTCGGGCAAGTGCTGCCTGTTGACCGATCTGAAGCAATGTGCGAACATTGAGGCATGCCAATCTGAAGGAAGATCGAGGGCTCCAAATGGAAGCCGATGAACTGGGCTTGACTGCTTGCCTGGACATGGGCCTGTTGACAGGGCAGGAATGGCGCTCGGTGTTCTCATGTGAGTTGGAACTAAAAGACAAGCGATTATTGTAGCAAGGTGGTGGAGGGTCAAGAATTGGGGGGTTGAAAACTGAGGGATAAAAGTGAAGCTGGAACGGGACGATAGGGGGTGAAAAAGCGTAAGAGGGGGGATAAGAAGACGGGAAGGCTTGAGCAGTAGCATCCAAACCCCTATCCACTCTGCTCGATGCAGCAGATGGGGCACCGTTGATTATCATCTGCCGTGGCCATAGCATCAGGAAATTGTTGGAGAACGGAACATTTTTATTTTGCACATGCCGTTTTTCTTTTATTGTCTTTTTCAGTTAGGAAAGAGGCGTCAGATCTGCTGCATATAATGAGGCATATAATTGTAAATTCCCCATCAATGAGACGGTCACAGTTTTGCTGGCCGAAACGTTCCGTGGCTGCAATTTTACTGCAAATGGTTTGTCACAAATCGAGGTGATATTGTCAGTGCGCTGATATGCAGCAGGAAGAGGCGATACGTGAATAGGTGGCACTTTTCGCAACCCCCCACAAATTCGCAGATGCCGCGCAAGCATCATTTTAATTGATTTATCTACGGATCACACAACACTGTGTGAAAGACGCACCTGCAAATGTACATGAACCAAGAGGAAAGCAAAGCGACTGACTACGGTGGAATACAGTCGGAAGCACTAGCGAGCAGTGTGCAAGCAGTGATCTGCACACTTCTGTGATAAGTGAAACGGTTGTGAACAATGGAGCAAATACCTCTGAATCGTGCTACCGCCGTACGAGATTCGAAACGGAAGCAAAATATGATGAGAGTGGTGCATTGTGTGGAGCAGGCATACCGGTGAGAGATCCGAGTCAACCGATCAAGTGCGAACCGAACAGCCTCGGCTATTGGCCGCACCAGGCTCAGCTGATTGGATGACGGTTGCCGACTGTAGTTTAACTGGAGTAACGGTGGAAACTACTGGTGGAACTGAGTCGTTAGTAATGTTATTAGTTGGACAACATACATAAAAGCGCTGTGTGAACAAGCTACGCCGTGTTCTGTTGCTTTGCTTTCTCCCAATAAACCGTTTGTCCCTGAAGGACCGAGTTTTATGACACAGTGTCAAAGACGAAGAGACGACTCTCAGTTCCAGATCGGAGCATCCCTGGCTGTTCAATTGTCTGCCTCGTTGAAAATGGATGAACGAAACTTAACAATTAATTAGCGCCTCCGGAAAAGAAGATGGTTTTCATGCACAATGGTA